CCACAAATGTGTGGTCCAACATAAGTCAAATGGAAGATATGTAATAACTGAAATAAAGTAAAACATAACAAAGATTCCTAGCTCCTGTGTTACGTATCAGAGCGACTCCTAGGACTCGATCAGGTAACACTCACTCCAAGCATTGCTCGGGTACCTAATTATTTGTACTCCCAGGGAAGCACAAATACAACAACACAAAAGGGGTGAGAATTCCATTCAATAAATATACGGTGAATATCACATACTAAGGAGTAGTAATCACACAATTGACACATCACACAGAACTTCGCAACATAACACAACATTCACGTAATACAACATTAACTCAAAACAATGCAATGCATGCATGTGGTACCATCAGGGCATAAGCCCTTATCACATATGCCAATTTGGACAATAACAGGGTATAAGACCTCATCACAACACCATTACAGGCAAACAACAGGGCATGAGCCCTCATCACTATGTAACAACATAACTATTCAACCACAAGGCATAAGCCTTCAACATTCGTCAATACAGACCATCATCATCATTGTCATGCAACATAAATTCCACATAAAATCCCATGGTTTAAACTTAATTTATTATTATTACTAGCTTTCTTATGTCCACCTAAGCCTTACTAGTCATTATGGATCGAGAGAATACACTCCACACGTGTAAACGGGAAGAAAACGCGAAAACGGGAATTTTTGCACCTTCACATGCCCCTACGCGTAATGCTGCATGCGTTATGCATATTGCCTTGCTGCCTGCCATGCCTTACGTGTAATGCTACCTGCATTATGAGTAACTCCTTATGTTCGGCCCTGCCTTACGTGTACTGCTTCTTGCGTTATGCGTAATGCCTTCTGTTCTGCCATGCCTTACGCGTAATACTCCTGTCTTACATGTAATGTTGTCTGCATTACACGTAACGCTACCTGCCTTACGCGTAACGGCAGTCTGTGACCAAAAGAACTATGTTTTCGCATCAGAATTATTTCCACTCATTTTGAGCACTTTCAACCTCCAAAATTGGGACCAAAACAACATTCTTTCACATATTAACTTAGGGATTTCATTCTACTTCATTATTTTATAATCCTGCACCAATTTCTACATCAATTCCTCCAATTTTTGTCACATCCCCAAATCTATAATTTTTCAGATTTGAGATTTTTATGAACAACATAACAACAGTAAAAATCAGCAGCAACAACATGTTCATTGTATATATTGGATCACGAATTTCACATAAAAATCACATGGAATCACACAATTCAAACCAAGAAGACATTCATCAATTCATTCATGAAAAATCTGAAGAGGCAAAAGAACTCTCACTATCTTCTCATGTTAATATCACCAATTTAGAGAACTCGTTCACCCCTTTACCTTAATTTACAACTTTGATGCTTCAACAAAAGAGAATTTTTCTTTGCCCTAGTTCTCTCTTCTCTTCTCTTCTCTATTTCTACGTGCCAATAGTTTTTCTCCTAATTGATCTATCTTTATTCTATTGTATTTTATTATTACTAACACTTAACTAATAATAATAATATTTTTAATATTAATAATAATATTAATAATAATATTAATGACAATATTAATAATCTTAATAATAACTATAATATTAGTAATAATAGTATTATCCCTCAATTCCAAGTTTCACCCTAAAATGTCAAAGCAATTCAAATTCAACAAACAATGACTAAATATTTAAATGGGACGTTACAAGAAGAGATCAGTGGTGTGTACTCGAAGAAATGGTCAGCAGGTCCTTTGCTTTCCCGAGGCTCGCAGGGTTTATCCTATTTCCTTTTCTCCCCTCCTCCTCGTCGAGGTGTCAGGTGGTCGTCGTGCCTCGAAACTCTGGTGCTCTCCTGGTGTCGTGAGTCCCGAGCACTTTTCCGGCTTTTTTTCTCGTACGTGATATAGGCATGGGCCTTGTCGAGGAGGGCCTACAGTGATGCTGGTGTTTCAATGCCAACTGCTTTGGGCGAAGTCACTGCGGGAGCACAATCCCTGATCGAGCAAATATTTCTTCATGCCATCAGTTGTGGAGACCTGGACGGATTCTCGGTTGAACCTCTCGATATAGGCTCAGAGGGATTCGTCTTTTCCCTGCATGATTTCTTTGAGCGCCGCTTCGGACTTCTGATAGAGACGAGAAGCGGTGAAGTGCCTTGAGAATTGTCTTCCCATATCTCTATAGGAAGTAATGGACTCGTCAGTGAGGCTCTTGTACCATGTCATGGCACCTTTCCTCATAGTGGTGGGGAATAACCTGCATTTGATGGCGCCTCTGACGCCGCGATAGACGAACAGAGCATCGATTTTTTCGAGATGCTCTTCAGGGTCCATTGTTCCGTCATATGTTCACAGGTTCAGCGGTTTCTCCAGGCCGACGAGAAGGGGAGAGTCCATGATTTCCCTAGATAGTGGCCCGCGGGGGACGTCTTCGTTGCTCTCAACCAGCGAACGTGATGGAGAACGGTAATACTTCTCTCGTCGATGACTGTCTAATTGTGTGGAGGTGGACGGCGGTTATCTGGTCGTCGACCATCCTTGTTTTTCTTGGCAACCGAGAAGTGTCAGCCCTCGCGTGGAGGAGTACTGTTGCGCTTCTTTACCATCGAGGGTTTTGGCTTCTCCAGCGGTGGGCGGAGGCCTGGTCGTCATGGAGATGGGCTTCGAGACTTGTACATCGGTGTCTCTGTGGAGGAGAGTGTGAATGATGGTTCTTCTCCAACACTCTGATCCTTTCGTTCTGTTGACAGATCAACGTGTTGGTGTGATTCAGCGCCACGAATAGGGATACCATGGTTGGGTCGGCGTCGGATGGCACCAAAATTGGTTAAAATATCTTTGGTGTCTCTTTCAGATCTTTCTAGACTTTGTGGGTTCTGACGTATTAGACGTCGACGTCGGCTGCTTCGTCGGAGTCGGGGGAGGGGTGCGCTCGTCTCTCTTGGACGGGGTGCCTTCCTCCATATGTGGGATGTCATCGTTGTTATCAGTGTTACGGGGGGGAGAGATGATGGTTTTTCCATTATTCTCATCTTGGCCAGCCATGATTGTCTCGTGAGGTTTTGTTTTTACCTTTAGGTTTCAAAGAAAGGAAAGATGGGGAAAATAGATTCTCACAGACGGTGCCACTAATATTACTGATGATCAGAAAGTGTGAACATGGTCGACGACGCGTATGTAGCTCTAAGCAATAAACAGAGGAGGGGTTGTACCTGTAGACACTCTGATGCTGAAGTCAATTCGTGTGGGAGGTAGTGAGAATAAGTTAAGAATATAATACATGACCCTCTGCAAAGAGGGTTTTTATAGAGAGCCCTCAGCGCTGGGCCAATGATCTCTATTATGGGCTGAGTATTCAAGCCCCTAATGGATTACTATCAGGATTCCACGTGAAAGTGGGAATGAAAGACACGTGTTCATTGTCCTGGATCAACCGCTCTGCACTTCACGGGTAGTGGATTGACAATGCCCATTATGAATGGCACAACGATTCCTTTAGTCATGTGTAACGTGTGGATGCAATTGATGATGTGTCCTCATGTGAGGAGTACGTGTGGAATCACGTTATCTACTGGTCTGAACTGATTAGACCAACGCTTTAGACCGTCCCCGACGTAGAGTTGGATTGGACCCTAATCAACGGTGGACCAGCCTCAGGCCCAGTCCAGAATAAAATATAAGTCAAATGCATTTTTCGTCTTTAAAGCATCAAACTTGTCATTTATGTTAGGGATTTCTTATTCCACCACATGTCCAAAAGAAAGACCCTTTACAATTTCGAAATAGCCCCTCGAAGTCGGAAATACATTTTCGATTCGCACCATATATTTTATAAGACAGATTAAATGTGGTTTCACCCTTCAAAATGTAAAAATAAAACTGGAGATATACTTCCGGTTCTACACCGATTGTGATATTAGTGTTATTCAATAATGTTTTTCTAGTTTCTATGTAGCATAACACCGAAATTACTTCTCCTGGTCAAAATCGAAAATTAAACTCCAGTTCCAATGTATAGTTTATCAAATTTTGATGCACACCGAAAATATAATTTAGATTTTGAGAGACAATTAAAGAATTTCACATGATGCGTAAAAAAATCATGGTGTAGAATAAAAAATTCCCTTTATGTTTTGCCTTAACTTTTGTCTATGTTTTTGACCAACTTTACAAACATTTAAAACTCAAAAATAAAAAAGAATCAAATTGTTATTTACACACACACACAAAAAAAAAGGATGGTATGCATTTAGCCTATTAAAAATTGAATGTAATATTTCCAAGCATACATAATATTTTAAATTTTCATATGGACTGCAATTGTGGACTTATTTTATCTTGTTATTCTCACCCCTTCACATTTCAAGCATTTTTTTATTCAACATTGAGGGAAAAGGTTTTCTTACAAGATAAAATAAAAAGGGCGAGGGAAATTAATTAGACATTTTTAAATCAGAGGTGAGAAGTTATTTGGCTTATGAAAAAGAGGAAGTGATTTTTAACATGTTCGCTACATTTCAAATGATGATACAAAAGCCAATAGGGATACTATTTTAAAATATTTAGCACGCCATGCTCCCTTCAAATCACGTTAAAACAAACAAAAAACGTTAAAACAAACAAAAAAACAAAAATAATACATTTCATCCACGGCTCAACATTTAAGGCTAAGGTTGGTTTAGGGGAGTTTTGATAGTGGGAGGAAGGTCTGTGTCTATTTTTTGGTTTATCCTTCCCTCCCCCAAAAGCTCTCTCCACCAATTTTATTCTAACTTCCAATGCAAAACAATGTGCTTATTGCATACATCGGGTCAGCCGCATTGATGAGCATACTGACGAAGGAAAGCATAATCCTTTAAAAATCATCGATTTGAAAGCGAACCACTTTTACTGTTATTATTTCACACATTGTACTTTTACACTCAAATAAAAAGGAAAATTGTGATCTAGTCACTAAATGTATTTTAGGTATAAGATTTTACCCATTACTGATGTTTATCATCTTCACCTGCATCTTCTATGTTATCAATGACTTCTTCAATGTCATATTGTTCTGAGAAAGTTTTTTCATCATTACCACCAGTTGAAGCTTCATGTTCCGGTCCTGTCGTGCTGCCTTGTGCGGCAGAATCAGTAGACCCGGTGGCATTAGACACATTTTGCTGCTTGTCCATCATCCCAGACAAGGCTAAACTAGGAGACCATTCGAGAACATCATCAATGATGTTAGATACTCTCCTCTGATATCTGCAAAACGCCAAAGCAACAAGTTGTAATGGCTAGAAAGAACGACTGCAAGTAGTAGTCCCTTTTTAGGGTTTTCATAGATCCAACCAAATAGGAATTCAAGCTCTGATAGTAAGCCCAATCATTCCCTTTGAAAGGCTATAAATACATTCATAACGTTCAGAACTTACCTTGCTCTTGCAGCTTCATCAGGCGCATGATGCCTCAGCAGTAATATGAACAGCACAGCCACCACAGAATAGAAAATCCTTGTCGTCCACTTAGGCTTTTCCTCTTCATCTTTCTTTGGCCAAAATCTGAACAACTCTCGCAGTGTTGCTTCCTCAACATTGATGTTAGGGAAAAACCAGACCCGCTTTCCAACAAGAATATATAGAACACCAAATACAGCACCTCTTACTACAGTGTTGAAAAAAAAACTCGTGAGGCCCAAGGAAAGAGTACATAATGCATTTATAAAGCAGATTTACACATGATTGACAACAACTAATTTTTATGTACTAGGTGCACATGAAGTTTAAAAAGAGCATTTTATTCAAAACCGGCAAATTCAATTTCCACTTTCTTCCATCATAAATATTAATATTATTTAGGATGAAAACTACAAATAACCTTACATACTTAAAATCTATGCAAACCCCTCTAAAGCTACAGAAAACCACTGGGAAAACCAGCACAAGCCTCCTCAGGGCAGGCTTGTCACTTCTCACAAAGATCTCCATTTCGTGGAAGGTCTTAGACAAATCATAATAATCTAGAGGAGTTGTGAAGACAAACCTTTTAATATTATATTTATCCTCATGGATAAACAATTAAACATCCTAGAGATCAAACTATAATTCAATTTCCTCTACTAAGGGAAGAATCTCTAAAAGAAATTGTCATGATATATTGACCTCAAATCTCCTAACTTAAAGGCTTTTTTCTCCTTCATTCATTATTAAATATTCATCGGAAAATGAATAAATGATGTAGTTATATAAACTGTCTAGTACTGCAACATATAATTGGCTTGAGATATGAAATTTTGCAACAGTCCATAAGGATATTTATATACAGAAGTGTAGAAATTAGGCAAGAGCAATCAAACAATATGGAAAAAGAATAGCTTACCCAAAAGTAGAGAGAAGAAGACAATAAGGATCCCACCGCATGAGTAAATTATTAAAAGCTTGCAGCTAAGAGGATACACGGGAAATAGGCAAATAGCCAATGTCAACACGGGCCAGAAAAAAGATAAGAGTGTCTGCCAGAGTGGATGGCGCTTTACAAATGCCCATGCATAGAATGTGTCATTTTCGGAGAATACTTGTTCCTGACAAAGATAATCAGACTGTATTAGTTAGATTCAGACATAAAGACAAACCCAGTCACTTAAACTACATCAGATTAAAAAAGCAGACAACCATGCAACAGAGAAAATTACTTACAGGGAAAATTTCCAAATGTGCAGGCCAAGTAGACAGCTTTTTCTTCCCAGGACGGAGAGTTTTTACAACACGATCACAGCGCACTAAAAGATTCTTTTCAAGCAAAATGTTGGCAATGTCCTCTGTTTCTAAACTCCTATCAGATTCCAGAATATCTTTAACCTCTGGATGATTTTTCAAGAAGTTCACAAAATCCTTCCCTCTGAAATACTCAACCCGTGTCTCTTGTAGAACAGCCCATCTAGAAACCAACTCCTTATGGTCTCTCACCTTCTCAGCAAACACCTGATACACATCCTTCTTCACAGCTTGTTTCTGTAAAACAAAAACATCCCAACAACAACACAGTCAAAATATAACACAAACAACTTTTGCATGTCACATAAAAACTAACCAACCCAAAAAATAAAAAATAAAAATACAAATCTCAATTTTTACATAGTTCACAAAATGATATAAAGGTTTAAGAAAATCAGAAATTTTCATGAACCCTAGATCATTTACATCTAAACACACAAACACAACAGATCAATTGTCATATCAATTAGAACTACACTTCAATTTGAAGTTCCCCAATTAAACAGGCATAAAAAAAAATAATAACTTCGGCAAAACCCCTATCTAGAAAAGCAAAATGGTGTCTAAAAAATAAGCTAAAAATACGATAATCACACAAGAAAAGAACAGATTTTAACTATAGTTATATGGTGTCAAATAAAAACTCCCAAAAACATACAAAAAACCGAATGAAATTGAAATTTCGATCTAAGATTTTTCTAAGCGACGGAAATGGAGCAGAGAAGGTAATTAGTGGAACTATCAGTGCAAAATGGGGACATTGGAGGCGAGGAATTGGAAATTGGGAGGGAATTGAAAACCCTAGAGAGAGAAAGGGAGAGAGAGAAACCCTAGGAGGGGCGTCGGAGGTGAGATCTGGTGCGGAGGGGCGTCGCACGCGTTTCTTCTCTGCCGCGCCTCCTGATGACTTCTTCATATTTTCAGTACCCTATGTTTTCTCTCTCTATTTTTTTTCTTTTTAGTACAAATATACAAGTTACATTATACAAATATTTATTTAAATATCTTTTTTATATAATTATTAGGTGTAGGTTTTAGGATCGACCATCACTTATGAATAAGATGGATTATAAAGATTTGATTAGTACATGTACCAACAAAGTTAAAGATTTCATTTCTAAAATTTAACTTGTATACAACAAATGTTTGGGTTTCAACACTAGTGAGAAAATAATTTTTACTAAATATATAGTTCGGTTACTATCTGAATTTGATTTAGGATGAAAATAAGACTTATTTAATAATTAAAAAAATTATTTATGATTTGATTTAATTTTAAATGATTAATTATAAAAATTTATATCTAAAACAAATAAATATGAATTAATAAATAATATTAAAATATATTAATATTAATAAAGTAGGAAAAATCACAATTCAATCTCATATAACTGCGATCAGAAAGAGATTAAAACTACTTGATATCAGAACTGATCTCCAAACTAAATTATATAAATAGTGAATAAAAATTAAAATAAATAAAAAATAAAAAATTGACATAATATATCTCATTAATAAAAAATAAATAAATATTAAAATATATGAATGTGGATTGATTCGTTTTGAATTTATTTTAAAAAATTAATACAAAATCTAATTTGATACGAATATTTTCAGAAAAGAGAATTTGAATGTATATAAAATTATTTATTTTTTTATAATTTTTTTATTTTTTAGATTGATTTTTAATTTCTCATTATTATATGATTCAATGTTATATTATTATTGATTACCTTTTTATAAAGTGATTATTATTTATAACTTATGCCATCTTATAAAATATTATATTTGAGATGTAAGTAGTTTTTTAAATTTTGAAATATAAAAAAAAAAATTATTCAAACTTCTAGTCAAAAAGAAAATAAAAACAAAGTTATTTACCAAAGTTTCAAAAATAATGTTCATTAATCATTTTGGAGAAAAAAATCAAACAAAAACTTATTTTTTCACATAAACAACAAATGAAGAAATTTACTCCTAGATTAATATACTCCTTTCTTTCTCAAATAAATTGTATAGTTGGACAATTCATAAAGATTAAGAAATTTATAAATGCGTGAAATACACATAAATATAAATAATTATTATTGTTAAAAATTGAATACTAGATCAACAACTTATTTTAACTTAACTAATACATATCAATTGAACTACTCACTCACCCCAAAAATATATACTCCCTCCGGTTTCATTTATAAGAAAAAATTAACTTTTTAGATATATTAAATAAGTAATGTATTTGGACAATATATTGTCCAAATACATTACTTATTCAATGTATATAAAAAGTTAATTTTTTCTTATAAATGAGACGGGAGGGAGTATTTTTTATTGCGACAAACGTCGTACCAATAACGAATAATACTTTGAGAAAGATTGAGTTTGTTGAATAAACACAAGAAATTCTATTAGATTTTGTAAAAGGGGAGGAGATGGGAGGAGAAGAAAGAAATATTAAAATTGATTATAAATGTTTTACTATTCACTTTCTCAATTATGATTTAAAGAGTACACGTGAATAACAACAACCAATACTCACATAACAATCCGAAAGAACTAGTCTATTTATAGACCACTAAGTTAACTTAAGTAACAAGTTATTTTAAACAATTGGACTAACACGCTAGCGTGATTTGACATGCTAACAATATAACATATTTTTTACAAGAGCAAGTGAACAGACTTCAACTTCATGCATAACCTTTGTCGAATCATGGAAGCTACCTTTGTTGAGACCAAAATTCGATCCAATATATCATAAATCTCCACCTTTGATCAAACTCTACAATATCACAAACAAACTAGCTTTTATCATACAGCTTTATCAACTGCTTACAGTGGAAAAACTTGCAGCTTGGCAATATCTTGGTGATCATGTCAACAACATTATCTTTAGTCAAATCTTTCAGCACTTGGACTTCTCCATGTTCGATTATTTCTCTAACGAAATGCAACATTACATCAATGTGATTGGTTTTCTCATAATAGGCTAAATTCTCCGACAAATGTATGGCACCTTAACTCTCACATTTAACAGTGATAACTTGACCTTAAAGTTTTTGTTTCTTCACAAACCTTTCAAGCCACAATTCTTCTTTCATAACCTCAGTGATGACAATGTCGCTTCAGTCGTTAATAACGCAACAACCTTTTAAAGCATTGCTTTCCAACTAATTGATATGTCAAGCATAGTGAAAACATATCTGAAGGGGTAAGAAAACACTTAGAAGGGGGGTTGAATAAGTGACTTTTTTTCCTTTCCAAAACAAAGCTCAACAATAATGGAAGGACAATGTTATTTTTATCCTGGTTCGTTTGAACTCAAACTACTCCAGTTCACCCGTCAAGGTGATTTCGCCTTTCTCAATCAAGGACTTAATCCACTATAATCAATTGATTACAAACACACAACAACTGTTGTGACTAACAATGCACAAGTAATCTTATAAGTGACTAACACCACTAAGACTTAAATCTAGTCCTAGTCTGCTTGAGAAATCTGACCAAACTTGGTCTCTCAAGGAACAAATACAAGAGTTTAATTTTACAGATAGTAAAATAAAGTTTGCTTCTAATCAAGCTATATCACAACTGTGATTTTTCACTTAGAATATAATGCACAAATTGTATGAACAATGAGTTTGTGAGCTTAGAATCTTTCACGTAGTTTCTTGCTTCTATTTTTAAAATTGATTGGTTCACTTAGTTGTTGGCTTGCAATAAATTTCCTTCTATTTATAGTAGGAACAATAAGACTGTTGCTGCCTTCAGAAAAGTTGGAGAGCATTAAATGCTTGCGGGTTTCCTTGCAATGTTCCATTTTCCAATAAACTAGTTGTAGACACTTGAGTGCTTTCAGCCGTCTTTGCATTAATGAGCAAACGACAGAATGTAAGAACATGTTTCCTACGCTTTGACAAGACAAGTTGGTTTTAACGTTCTTTCAGAATTTGCTCCAATGTCTTTAAATCAGAACATGTTTCACTCATCTTCTAGGCAGTGCGTTGCTTGCTAAGAACTTGATCAGCGCTTGCTTTCAAGTAATCTTCTGAGCAAGGAACCTGCTAAATGTTAGAAGATATATTTAAAAAATAAAGTGTCTTACCAGAGTCAGCAGATGCGCTTAAAGAAAAGGTTCTTTCATCAAAGAACTTCTTCATAAATTTTGCTTAGCACTTCAGAATGTTTTCTGTCAGAACATTAACTGAAACATTCAAACACATTCATCAGAGTATAAATTATCTTAAATATAATTTATTGTTATCATCAAAACTCTGAGATAGGTCAGAACTAATCTTGTTCTTACAATATCCTAGAAGAGATTTCCATGTATCATACAACCTGCATAATTAGAGTTGACACGTCCTTTGATTTCTACTTTACTATCATCATCATAGGCTCCACCATAAATCATGAGTCTGCTCAGAGACCTATTTATGTACCTTATAATCCACTTACATGCTTACAAGGTGTTGGCTGAAGATTTTGATGATTCAGTTCGAAACGAAGCAAGTTGGGTGTTTCGTTGGAATAAAGCAAGATGTCATGGTTCAGAATGGTAGAAGTAGCTCTTCGAATGAACATGTCAAAGCTCGGAGCTTCGAGTGACAGTTATGGGGATATATTCAAAGGAAGTCTCAAAGTGGTAACAAGGTTGTGTCCAAGAAATGAGTTCGAAGCGAAGAGTGCCAAAACATTTGAAATTCAAACGCAAGCGGGATGTTCGAAATTTGAAATATATGCGCTGGAGCATTCGAAGACGCGTGGAAGCTAAAGAGGGGCAATGCTTTGCATGTTCTGAATGTGGCAGAATCTTATAGGCAAGACCATTATGGTCGAAGTAGTATAAATAGAAGTCTTAGCGTTAGGATTTCGTGTGTCATATCTATTGTACAAAATTCAGTAAACATTCAAAATACCACATGGCTAGGGAAACGAATGCTCGAACAATGTACGTATGATAACACCAAATGTTTATGATTCAGCAAAACTCTTTATCATTTCCATTTTATCCTCTATCTTCATGTCAATATCATTCAAAAGCCTTTACATTAAAATCTTTTTCATTCAAAGTCTTTTACTGATTTCTTGCATTTGAAAGTCTTTCCCTCTATTCCGAGTACTTTACATTTAAGAAATTCGTATACCTTTTATGTTGTTATCTTCATGCTTTTATCATTCGAATACCTTTTCATCCAAAGTCATTTTACTGATTTCTTGCATTTAAACGCTTTCTTTCTATTTCTAATCTTTTACATTCCAGAAACTCTTTTACATTACATGCTTTTATACTTCGAAGTTATTTACTTGTTTCTTGCAGTTTTACATGTCTTTACAATTGAACCTTTATTCATGCAATTTAGTTTCGCACGTATTTACTTGATAATGTCATTAGATCTTTAATATGGTAATCGAAGTAAGTTGAACACCTACACAACATTCTAAATACCAACCATGAATATCAGTTCTACAATGAGAATTATCCAAACGACCAATACACCATAGGATCAATCTAGTTGATCCTGCAAGTTATCAGAGAAATTAAATAACAGTCATTAAGATTATTTGATAGTTTGGAGGACTAGCGGTTGTTTACCAGAAATCACTGTAAACAAATTGGCACACCTGGTGGGACCGTCATTGGTCATCACGAAATTTAGAACAAAGTAAAAATTGTTGAGATATAACCATTGTAAAAGTACTCTCTGAGTGATAAGTTCGTTGTTATATGAACCTTAGAAGTGGTAGAATAACCAATAGCAACCAACCCTTGCCCAGAAGAAAACGTTTAAACAAGATGTCTAATCCAGACAATCAACAGGGGGAACAAAATATCCCACAAACAACAGGCACTAATATGTCCGCTTCGACAAGAACATCTAATACGACCCCTTCGAACGCACAGTCTGTTGCATC